AAAAAAAAAAAAAAAAAAAAAAAAAAAAAAAAAAAAAAAAAACGAAAGTGTTGTATTCTAACCTTGTAGGGGTCGATGGTTTTGGCCTCGAATTGTGATAAGCTTGCGAGGAAACAGAGCGAGGCCACGAAGATGAACCGAGTAGAGGGCAAAGGGGTCCTCATAATGGGATCCAAATATGTCGCCGGAGGAGAGTTTGAAATCGGTAACGGTGACGGAATGGCGCTGTTAGCGTGTAAATAGAATTCGCGGGAGAGGGTCGAGATGCTTCGAGGTTAAGGCCTTTAGTACACGTGGCACTGTCATGTATCACCACGAGTGTTGGCCAATCAGATTTCAGACTTTCCAACATCTCATGTCATCCATAGCAAAACAATTTCTTCTTTGAGTTACAATTTTTTTAAAAAAACTAAATATGCTGTAATTGACTTCTTAGTATAAAAAGCAATTCCTTAATTATGATGACCCGTGGAGAAGAGGTACTTGGTGTATTTCTCTATTTTGTTAAATAAAAAAAACAAAGAAAAGTTATATGAGTAATGGATAAATAACGGCTTTTTCACCTCAATAAAATAAAATAAAAAATTAATTTTTAAAACAAATTATTTAAGAAATAATTTATTAAAATAAATTGCTTTAGTTACGTGAATACGCAGAAACATCATTGACTCCAATGTCTTGCATGCACGCAAAAAACGTTACAATTGGTGATACACTACATGCAAAAACTCTGAAATGAAAGATGTCACGGGACATGATATCTTCCATGTAATGTATGTAGAACATGTCAGGGGGCCTGACACCTTTCGTGCAACAGTCACCTCCATATAAGGTTACAGGCTTGTGTAGTGTGTATGATGAACACGTCAGGGGACTTGACGCCTTCTATGCAATGGTCACCTCCTTGCAGGGTCATGATGTAGCATGCATGCAGGTTTGTAGGCTCCTTGTTGTAGTGTGCAGAGAACCAAAAATGTCATGATGCATCACACCACCTATATACGTAGTGCTTGTTTCGGGTGATTTACTGTTTACGAGCAACGAAAGGCGAGAAAAGTTGACGTTTGTTTCTACCGATTTGCGACGATGGAAAGGCGAAGAAAAGCGAGGAGAAGCACTGTTGCCCTCCGCGCACGAGAGGGAAGAAAAGAGGTGAAAGACACGTAGGATTTGTGAAAATCCAAAAATGCCCCTCCCATGCATGTGCCATGCAGCAGAGGATTCACGTTCAACGAAGGAGCATAATCGATTGGCCACATAATCGATTATGCAGGGTATTTTCGCTGCTAGTGAAAATCGGAACGGCCCCGGAACGGCCCGTTCCAAAAATGCATGTTATGAGAAAAATAAGAAAGCAGAACGGGCCGTTCCAATTTTGGAACGGGCCGTTCCACTTTTGGAACGGGCCGTTCCACTTTTGG